GCACCAAACAGCTAGCTCCTCTTCCCTGTAATGGAGAAAGAACCAATTCTTGCCAATCTGCTTTGTGCTGACTTCACTTTCGTCAGTCTTTTCAAATTTTGGGGAAATTGATGACTCTCTGTGCGTGATGATCACCCTCCCTCTCTATCTCACAGTGGTTTATCCGGTGCCTGCTCTCTCTTACATTGTTTTATCTTTTATTAAGGTATGAGCCCGCATTTAGTCACTCTCTGCATAATGGAGTCAGTGTTGTGTCTTCAGTCAGTCAGTTATGTTTGTGTTATGTACAGTGACATCAGTAAGCACAGAACCTGTCTCTTGTGTACATCTGTGATTTCGTAGTTGTATAAATAGTGTTTTTAATACACTTCAAGACATTTGTCTCATAAGAATCTGACTCCCTGTAATTTATATTACATGGGATAACCTATAGAAAACTGGACACACATGAGGTGCCACTTTCACTTTTAAGCCATGAGGTGCTGAGTTCAAGAGGTGGTCTGTTGGAGGTGAACCCTTCAGATGAGATGTTAAACTGAAGCCTCATCCGTCCTCCCAAGATGGATGTAAAAGATCCCATTTGCACAATTTTGAAATCGAGCAGATGAGCCTAGTAACCTGGCTAATTTTTAATTCTACTTCACCATATTAAAAACATTATCTGGTCATTATCCCACTATTTGGGAGCTTTCTGTTTATATTACAACAGTGACCTTGCTTTATTTATTATCTTATTACCTGAAAAGTACTCTGGGATGTTCAGTAGTGTGAAAAATGCTAGATAAATGCAAATTTTTAAAAATGTTTATTTTTCATCTTTAAAATTGAAGTGTATCAAGTTAGAGAAAATTAGAGACACATAACAGAGGTGTTATAAAATGGATCCCACATTGAAGAGGCCATTTCGTGCTCTGCCAATCAAAGTGGGAGGAAGTCTTGTAGTGCAGTGAGAAACATCTTCGCCTGTGACCCAGCAACTCCAGGTTCAATTTCTCATCCTGGGGCTTAATGGTCAAAGAAGGTGCGTTCATAATGTGACCAAATAAGTTGATATCTAATTGCAAATCCTTCCAACTAATGGTAGATGATAAGAATGGGAACCATTCCTGGTCAGCAATATGAGAAAAAAAAATTGGAGTCCCTATCATCACCATCCAAATATTCCAGAAAATGAAATGCATATAAAAGTGAATATAGCTTTACAACTCGGATTTGAGTGATCACTAATATTCCACTACTGGGCCAACATTTATTTCCCATCTCAAATTGCCCTTTCAACATTGATAGTGAGGGGCCATCTTGAATTGTGCAGTCCATCTGGCGTGGCTAAGCCTACTGAGCAGTTAGCAAAGGAGTTCCAGGATTTTGACACGGTGAAGGAATGGTGGAATAGTTCCAAGTCAGGATGGAGTGTGGCATAGAGGAAAAGTTGGTGGTGTTATAGGATTTTAGCATAGCATTGCTGTCACTAACAGCATGATTTTAATGAATGATACTTCTTATTTCATACCCTGACACCACTGCATATCCTTGAATATGATTTGGAGTAATAATTTACACTCCACTGACAAATTGGTCATGAATTTTTCCAAATGATTGGT